ATTAATTGAAGGAGTTGTTTTATTATTTTTTTTTTCTCCATTAATATTCTGTTTTTGTAAATTAGTTTATTTTTTATTTTATTTTATTTTATTTAATTATTACTTCCTTATTTGTGTATTAATACTGTATACTTTTACTAATATCTGTAACCATTGCCACTCTCTGGGGAGTGAGTGAGTAAATAAATAAATAAATAAATAAATAAATAAATAAATAAATACATTTTTTTGTCCTTTCCTAGGGATTTTATGTGTCTAATAAATATTATTATTATAGTTTGCACTCACAATAACAATAGACAATTATATAAAATCAAGACTTTGCTACATGATTTACTTGAAATCATGACAAACAGGGTACTAGTACTTTATTTAGTCATGCATTCTAAAAGTCATTGGAACATTTTGAAATAATGTCAGAATGGCTGGTGACAGTGACGACCAGTGACTGCTGTCGTCCATTTATAGCTGTCATTGGAAACTGGAAATATATATCCTTAGTTTCTGGTGAGAGGAGCAATAATGACACATACTGTATATGTAAAATGTTTGTGCATGAAAATAGAATAGGCAATTTCATGCAGATTTTGATCATGTAATCATAGACAATGTTATACAGCCTGAGATGTACATGTTTGTCTTCAAAATTCTAATCATGTTAATTATTATGTGTTAATTAATATAATCGTACCATGAGTATCTTTTAATTAAAGTGTGAACAAGTATTCGACTTTTCAGCATGAAAATGGTACCACGGTGAACGAGCAGTGCACAGACAAATAACAGGATGAGTCGTGAGTGACAGTATCATATGACTAATATCATACCGACTGAGTGCTTGAAATCAGAAATAAATATTTCAACTTACCAGCTAACAGCGAACAGGGAAGTAATACAACAAAAAGAAGTCGACACGCAATTGAGGTTGCCATTATCTTTACACGACGACTAGTCAGAACCTATTAAAAAACAGAATGTATATCGGACCGGTAGTGAAACACTTTTCGTGGTTTGCGTAGCTGGGGGATTGGCGCGGTGGTTCGATGGCTGCAACAACATCCACTAATTTGGGGATTTCTGGTTAAATATTTTCATAGAAACTCAAAAGCCAAATTTAGTTCATTCGCTGACTGTTAATTCAGGTCATCCCAATGCGAGGTTCAGTGACGATATTAATAATTCATGTATGAATTCGGAACGACGACACAATCCGTGTATACATGATCGCCATATTGAAAATATATGTAAGGTCAAAGGTCAAAGCTCAGCCCTAAAGCCGCTAATGCCACTGATAAAACATTGTTGTGTCATCATTTAAAAATTGGCTTGTCAGAAAGCAGAGCATTAACTGTGGCTTAGTCAATGAAACCGATTTTTTTTATCTAATATGAAAAACAAGGCAACAACTAAAAATTCCCAAAGCATGCTGGGTAAAATCTAAGCAAAACTGCTCTCGAGTTTGTTTCTTGACAGCAAGTTCCACGCCAACTACAATAACTTCAGACCAAACATAAACAAACTAACGCATAAACGGTCTAACGCACTACAACAAGCCACAAATTACTTTTTGTTATTGTATTTGTAATACTTAATGATGGCATGTCTATAAAATCTGACAAATCATTGAAAGAAAATGCCTTGATTTTATAAACATGTATATTCATTTTGTTGTTGTTGACACAAATGTCGCACATGCGCAGCGCGACGACCACCGCGCTTTAATCTGTCCATGCCGCGCATCTAAACATCAATGACAAATGATAACACTGTTCAAACATTGTAATGTGTACCTTGGTACATGGAACAAATATAATTTATGACATGAAGTCAAAATAGGATACTAGTATTTTTTTTTATATTCGGGGTTCATATCTCAGGCCGGTATATACCCTGCTGATAACCGTCCCAATTTTCCGTTCAATTATTTTTCCACATGAACTATAAACACTTGTTTATATGTTTGTGTTCCCATTTACGTAATAAAAAAACCATTCTATTGCAGTTACTATAAAACAGAATTTCAATCAACCACTCAGGTTTTCAATCCACGAGAACAAAATATATAAGAACGTGTGTTCTTTACTTTACAACGTGATTTTAATTTAGCGATCGATTAAAATTGTTTCTGAGTGTCAACTTTCGAATATCAATCCGATCAAAGGTATACCACGTGACAGAATGCCGCACTACCGCGAATAACCACAACAGTATATAGTGAGTATAGTGCCCCCTGTTCTACTCAGTCAGTGACTGATGTCAATCATTTTTTTCTCAATAAGCTACATATTATTGTATTTCTTCTGTTTACTAGACCATTTTATTAATTTATCTGTTTGTATTAGTATTACATAAAGAAGTAATCAGAATGTCATAACATAAACATTATACGATCCATAAGGCAGCGCTTGCTACAGGTATTACTTTACAACGTGATTTTAATTTAGCGATCGATTAATTGAAATTGGAAATTAAAATTGTTTTTGAGTGTGAGTGTTTGTCATCTTTCAAATATCAAACCGACCCAAGGTATACCACGTGACAGAATGCCGCACTACCGCGATTAACCACAACAGTATATAGTGAGTATAGTGCCCCCTGTTCTACTCAGTCAGTGACTGATATCAATCATTTTTTTCTCAATAAGCTACATATTATTGTATTTCTTCTGTTTACTAGACCATTTTATTAATTTATCTGTTTGTATTAGTAGTACATAAAGAAGTAAACAGAATGTCATAACATAAACATTATACGATCCATAAGGCAGCGCCTGCTACAGGTATTACATGTAACTGTTGTGTCACATTTTTCTCTGTCATTCATTTTCAGGGCTTTAATCTATCTTTCAATCTGAAAATTACAATCATGGATATATTGGATATTTGGTCACAAATCGCGCAACGCATCTGGGCTATTTATATTACAATATATACCAAGTTGGCTTTTTTATTTAAAAGTAATCACGTTGCATGTATATATAAACTCGTATAACATGATGTATTGTCACACAATGTATGTTACCTTGAAGCTACATATATATACATGGTTATTAAGAGAAGAGGGTCAACGGAATTCATATTCAATGCACATTTTTGTGTTTGATGGGCATACTGACATTATTCAAAAAAGGAAATGATAATTTCTTGTCCTAATGGCCCTGTGTGATTTTTTAACACTGCGAATTGAAATATCTTGTACATGAAATGGGCGTAAAATTGCTACAATGTGTAATGAACTGGTTGACGGTGTATCACTTGTGAAGTGCTTTAGATTTAGGTCACTGCTATTAATTTTAAATCTTAATGATAAGATGGCATTCGAAACTTCATACTTAAATTCAACATCCGTGTTAGTGATGATGACATCTACCGAGAAAGAAACAACCGAAGAAACATCTTCTGACGTCGAAAGCAGGCAGTGAAGCTGAGGTAGCATTCACATATAATACGAGAACGGTAATTACTGTCTCCTGGGCGAATAGCTATATTATATGCGTGATGCATTGTCAGCTCACCAGAAGTTACAATTTCGCGATGACACAGTTTCATTTAGCCGATTGTCATTTTTTAGGGGGCGTGAAAAGTCAACATTGCCTATTACACATGTCATACAGTCGCATGTTTTAAAATAAATAAACTACTTTTTTTTATCGAATTCGGCATTTTTGATCAGCAGAATGGAAAATCATTTCACTCGTCTTATTACGATAATATCTGTGTTGCATGTAAATGGGGTATGGACGGTTATTATTCAGTTATGATGTTGTTGTTTTGCATCTAAATGATGTATAGAAACTTGTTTTTAACAATTGATCTTTATCCTATAATTATCTGTTATCTTTGTTATCTTAAAATTCTTAATGCTGCTACTGAGTATAGATATGTGTGCTCATCTGGTGAACAACATATATTTCTCGTTATTTCTAATAAATGTAAACCATCTACATGTGTTATTTAATTATCATTAAAACATATTCATTGATTAGATATAAACATATTTACAAAATAAACAAGAAAACTGAACACATATTGTGGTCACTTGGGCATATTGCAACATGCGAATGTTAAATTATTTCATTTTCGTCAAAAAATATATGCGGTGAAACAATGGCTGATGCAATATTTTAATGTACAATGCACGGTTAATGGTGCGATGAAATGTTGTTCAGTGATTCCAAATTCCATATGTGTATAATCAAATAGTATTGCAGTTTACAACACATAGCACGTTGTTATATTTACCCACAATGCTGCAGGACAATTACACAGCAAATTCAAAATGGTATATTGTAATGTAATTTGTATTAATCAAATATGCGAATCTTGCTTTAAAAGACAGCCTTAG